ACTTTTGGTTGCATCGCCAACTTGAGGTGAATCCTAACCGAATACCCTACCGAACCCTCCAACTCCGTAGCACTTATGAGGGTGTCGCTAAGTCGGTGGCCTCTCGTTAAGTAAGTACTACATCAACATTTCCTTCCCTATCCCTAGTTATGGTTAAAATGGGCGTGGCCGGGAATAGCGACAGTCATGCTTCTGTTACTCTTGTTTAGATTGGAACCAATGTTTACTCCCCAGCATTATTCTTGAAAGTAGTCTAACTGAGAATTTCAGAAGAGACGTGAGTGTCGCTAGTATCCAATCTACGAAGTATATCATAACAACGCTAACGCTGACGCGCTAACGCTAACGCTAAAATTCCTGAAATTCACGGATCTCCCCTTAAGCTCCATAGATTTTTATGAAGTTCTCGAAATGTTTCTGAAGACCACTTTCCTTCAGTGAAGTTTTCTAAGTTTTTCTTAATTTCTGGAACTTTTCTGCTCCCGCAATTTCCATGGAATTAGAACGAAATAATTAATATGGTTCTATGATTTTCACTGAATTTATCTGAAGTTCATGAAACTTTCCTTAAATTATAGACACTAATTTAAAACTTCTTCAATAGTCTAGACTTTCCTGGTGTTTTTAAAACTGCCAAAACGATTACTGAATGTCTTTAAAGTTCTCTAGACTGTCCTAAATTTATCAGTATTTTTTTAAGAACCCGCAATTTTACTGAAATTAATTTAATTTGCCTTGAAGTTTCGACAGTTTTCCTAAAGTATTATAATCATCATAAGCGGTTTCTAATTTCCCCTGAACTTATTTATGCTTATCTGAAGTTCTCCAAATTTGTTTAAAAATCCGGCAAATACATTCATAATTCCCTGACGCTTCTGACGTTTTCGGGTCAATCATAGAATTCTTGTAATACCCCATGATTTCACGGAACTCTTTGTATGTCGCTACAAATTTGCTTTAGTTAACGGGAAATTCTGAAGCTATCTGATCGTCATCGAAGTACTCGGAACTTCGCTGAATATCATGAAACTATCTACAAATATCTGAATTTATTAGAAGTTCTCTGGAATTTCTTCTAGATATCGCTGCTTGCTAAAAGTTCTCGCATTTTTTTTATTAATGGAACTTCGTTGATGTTCTTTAACCAACTTAGCTAAATTTTCGCATTTTTTTAAAGTTCTTGAAATATCCATGATATAACACCCTTAAAATACTCACACGTTTTCCGGATGTTCATATAATTTTTATCATGTTCCAGAAATTATCTCGGAGCTTTGCTGAATTTTGTTATTCACTGCGTGTTCTCTCTCTCTCTCTCTCTCTCTCTCTCTCTCTCTCTCTCTCTCTCTCTCTCTCTCTTAGCCTACAATGCCCCAGGTCCCTGGTCTGAAGCCACGGGGACCAGACGGGGTGGGCTATCCAGCAGCCTCTTTTGCGGCGAATAGCTCGAGCTTGAGAGACGGAGCTGTGTGTGTGTAAGGGCCGGCCGGCACGTGGATCTCTGCTGCGGGGAATCGGACGGGGCGGCTACGAGTGCGATCGGATGATCGCTGATATTGCTGCACGTCGGCGGCGTCGGCGTCACTTGCGCTGGACGCAGGGGACTGCTGGTTGAGTGCGATGAATGGCACGGTTGCCACGGACAGTGGTATCAGTGCAGGATGGCACGAGGTTCTGTCGCTGCGAACTCCTCATGGTACCAGGTTTCCTACCAAGGTTGAACGTCGGCTCGTTGGCACGTATAGCCGGTCGATCGAGCACTACCTGGCCCAGTGCGTTCTCGGGCTGATTTCACAGACCGTGGCCTGACTCAGGCTTTACACCCGGCTTTGAGATAAAACTCAATGGGCCCTGAGGGCACGTGGGAAATAGGAAAAGGGTCTGATGAAGGCTATGCTACCGGAGTCCGTTTTATATTGTCCTACCTGATTCTACGGTTTCAAAGGATTAGGCAGCTTTGTTTTTCCACCCGTATTCGACTGTTCACTATTTATTACTCTTTGTTCTTCAATTTGGTGAACTTGTTCTCTCAAAGGTTGGCATGGAAAAGAACTAGTGCTATTCTTCGGACCGGTAGCAGACCATATATTTCCCTTTTCCCAAAATGTCCCTTTTCTTCTTGATAGTCCCATTCCAAATTTCCCTTCTCCTCCATGATCCGGGTGGTGGGTGCTGTTTTCTGTATGCTAAGTGTAGGTGTATAACAGTTGGTGTGTTTCTGTATTTAATTCGACCGTTCATACTGGAGTTCGTGTTATTCAGTTCTCTAATTCCTATCTGTTTTATATATATGAATGAGCCATTAGTGCTTTACTATTCATTCACTGTTTAGTTTTAGTAACAATATGAATACTAATATCATTAATTCAAAGCAAATATTAGATCAATCATTACTGATTTACACAGTTGAAGATGCTAATTTCAAATAACAGACTGTAGTGGTAATTTTTATACGATAGATGGAGTAGATGAAAGCATAGAGTTGATAGTTCCGTTAGAGTACGGCAGTGTGAAGATTGCATATAGATATTAGAATAGAGAGCTAGGACAACTTTTAAGGAAGGTACAAATCGGTTTTTCATCTCTCTTTACCAAACTCCCCCTTTGGAGAGGGATGGTGAGGGGTGTCCTCCCTCGCCACCACTGGCAAAAAGAGATGAAAACCGACAATTTTTCGGAAATTTCCTGAGTTTGTCGAACCTTCTTTAAGGTTTCTACAATTTCCTTGAAATTATTTGAACTGCCCTTTGATTCTTTGATCTGTTTGATGTTCTCTTAGTTTCTCTAAAGCTCTCAATTCTATTGAAGATTTCGGTTCTGCTCGGAAATAAATGGAATTCCCGTAAACACCTTTAAATTTCCCTGGACTTCTGTGTAGCTCCTGAAATATTTCTAGAGTTTTCATAAATTCTCTGAAGGTCTCTGTACTTCCTTGAAATTCTTGTAACATCTTAATAGTTCTCGAATTTTTTTTCAGCACATCATGGCACTATCCTGATTTTTTTTTTATAAATTTACTATTATAGATCTTTAAACTCCTCCAAAAGTTTAAACTGAAGTTACGAGAACTGCTCTGAAGATCTAAAAAGCCCCAAAGAACTCTAGATCTAGCTTGTGTGAGGTGCTTAGAACTTCTTTAAAAAAAATACACAATACCTCTCAAGTTTTCAATATTTCTTAAGTTCACTTGACACCTGTAAAGTTCTCTGAAACTCTAGGAACTTCATAAAAGTTTCTGAAAATTCATCCAGAAAGTTTCCCATATTTTCAGTGTGTTAAATTCCTTTATGTTCCCGCTGTTTTCTTATGGACCTTCATTCCTCAGAACTTTCCTAAAGTTTCTACCATTGTTGTGAAGTTAATGGGACTGCCATGAAGATCGCTTATCTTTCATAAAGTTAAGTTAAGTTTTCTTTATTAGGGAGGCTTTCAGCCTGTGGCTGGTTCGCCTTCCGGTCTTCATAAAGTTAATTACGCATTTTTTCCCCTAATTCTGGCACAAAATTTTCAATATCTAGAAACTTGTTCATGGAAGCAATGAAAATTCAAGGCATTGAATTGTTTTAGATCTTGGACGTACTCTAACTAAGTAAGCTTTTTAGTTTTATTAAAGTGAGAAATTAAATATGTGTTAACATTCAATGGATTTTATTGTAAAACTGTTTCTGTAAAACTGATTGCCATGTTTTAAAAACGTTTAAGCTATTTGCTGTAGTTTTTGATCTACAAAAAAGCATATTTTAGCGCATTGAAAAAAAGCTTTCTTATTATAAACGTTAAAGTTCTGGAAAAACCTGGAAAACTCAGGAAATTTTATTTAGAAAAATGAGCAGACACCCTGTAGATAGAGAAAGACGACTAATGTCACAAAGCAAAGAATGCTCAATCTTTAGTGACTTGGTCCTAAAAAGGAGACTGTTTAGTGACTGGCTTGAAAAAAGCGACCAAGTCACTAAAAAGTGACTCGCTACCAGCCCTGTAGTAATCAATGCAATACTTTCACTAATAACAGCAATGTTTATTTACTTTGCTTGTTTGAATCATCGTTTAACGGTTCAATTGATTATTTTGGCTTCAGTCTTTGCGTTCGTCTCTGGTATTCCACTATTTAAATCATCAACAACACATCAGAAAGGCCTATAGTCCTCTCCAGCCGGGTTCGTATTGGTGCGATTTGCGTGTGTTAGTGAGATGAAATTTTTTGTTAGCTGTGAGATTTTTTTTGTTTGCTGTAAGAACTGTCATTCTAAAGTAAAAATAAACAACAAAATGAAAACAAACCCTACGCTTGCACGGTAACAGTCAAGTACCCTTTTGTGAGTAAATGTTAACCCAGTTTTGATAAAGATGGTTTTACTCATTAATGAGTAAATTATTTTAACAAAAATGAGTTTCTGCTAACACTAGGTAACAGTTACTACTCAATTGGCATAATGAATTACTCATTAATTAGTGGTGCCGCTCTTATTTACAATGGGTTCACTTTTACTCATAAATGGATGTTTGATTCTTACCGTGCACATGACAGTATACGCTAGTGTGTGTAAAATTATGCTATTAGTGTAGTGTTCGTGAGATCCTGCTTGGAGAACTCAATAGACGAATAATGTATTCAATGGCTTTGAAAGATTATTTCTCGCAAATCAACACACATTGATTTAATTTTGGAGTAAGGGCCATCTGACATGTTGTAACTTTGATGTAGTTGATCGATACTCGATACCCGTTTTCACTTATGGCGAATTTGTTTATTATTCAGTTCCAACCTGGATCGGGTATCAAAACAAGCTATGCTTGTTTTCTAACAAACGTCAGTTTGACCGTTTGTTTTTTAAACCTTCTTCAGGTTCAGGTTCGCACTGACAAAAAGTTCGGTTTCACACTGGGTTGGACCTGGTTCCAACCCCGATAATAAACAAATTTGCTATTAGGAATTCGTGGTGAACTGATAATTGTGTTGTCTCTCTTGTCTAGAGTCAAGTGTTTCGTCAATAACTTACGGAACGAACTCCATGTTGATCTAGTAGATTATGGTTGCCAGTATCACTTTATCTTCCCTGGATCAGTTTGGCTTTTGAACACAACGTTTATTCACAGTTCAGCAGGCTATCAGAGCAAATCTCCTACAGCACTTGCTCTATTATTATTTTCTTTTTTCGTTAAAATGGTTACTGAGAACAAAATTAATTAAAACTCCAAATTATGTCCAAACAATTGCTCATACAAACACATCCGTTTTAATCAAAACCTCGGACGCTTCATTCTAGTCAGGCTTCCCAGAACACAAACAATTTGAATAATCGCAATATGACGGCCGAGCCACGTTGGATCACACTGGTCCAGAAAAATTAATTTTTGCTGCGCACACACTGCGTGGTTCAGAACACAGAGTCACAAGAATCACGGGATGAACAATTCACACTCAACGGTCTGCTCTAAACTCTCATTTCTTTTTTTGCCAAAGCCGACCGTTTGCTCTCGCGCCTTTTTTTTCTCACTCTATGTTTTTGTTTTGGTCCGCCGTTCTGACAGAGGGTTATATGAAAATAATTATAAATTCCACTGCAGAAGAAATGGTCTCTCCAGACAAGCAACGCTACCGTCCGCCACAACAGAACTGGTTCATATCATTCCAGCATCGAATCGTGTTTGTGGAAGATTTCCTGCTATAATAATAAAATGAAGGGGATGACGGGGTAAGATGACCACCCTAAGCTTTAAGTAAAATGTCGCCAAAACTATGTAAAATTTACGCGATTAATAACTGAATATTGATATTTAGAACACTTTCACTAAGTTCATTGATTTTCAGGACGCACGAGGCAAAAAAGTCTGAATGAAGCAAGGTCATAAAACATGCGGTCTTGCGGTCCAAGGGTAAGACGACCTCATGGAATATCACATGATCCTGGCCATATAGAAGTCTACCGTCTTCGCCAAAGTGGTACAGTGGGTCAAAGTTAATAGGTTAGATAACAGTGCTAGATAGAGCAGGAATTAGGGCGTAACAGCTTTTGAAAACAATTACTTCTTTCGATGATTTCTAGAAAATCAAGGCAAATCAACATCACCTCGGATAGAGGAAGACTTTCTCTACGCGACGGTTATGGTTTGCGTTGGCGAGCCTATCTTATAGAGATCTTGACTATATCGGAAGTTCCCGACTTTGAGAAAGTAGTTCAGCTGACCCAGATCTTCTAAATTGTGGACAAATTAGTTTAGAATTCACTCACTACGTGGCACGTGAACTTCACATGAACGTTGATGTCTTCCCAACCAAAAATGTGTGATGGTTAAAGGCTGAATAGGCAATATTTTAGCTGAAGAAGTACATTTTTGCCTAAATAAGGTCATATTCTGCTTCCAATGTTTGCTGGGTTGAGCATCTAAGAAATTGCCCGTGGTTGAAAATCTCTTTATTTATGAAGTTGTTGTCTTCGGAAAATGTGTGCCGATTTGGCCTTCATTATGGCCCAAAATCTTATCACCGTACGAATCTCTGGTGAATTTGGGGGGTTGGCGGTTTTTGGTACAAAAACAACGTTATTGTCTCTGTACCAATCCAACGTCGATCGCGCGTAATGGCATGATGCCAGGTCCGGCTAAAATAATGTCTCGCCTCCGTGGGACCGCAGGAAGGGCAACAGACGCTTCTAGAGGCACCCATTGTGATGTACGGTTTACTCAGTTTACCGCTTTGGCATATGGCCTGCCAGAGCAAGTATTTTTTGGCGAATTTGTTCACTTTCTTCTTCCTTATTTCTTCCGGAACATCAAACCGTGATTTGGCAACGTAGAACTCCAGCCCCGGTATCTGATTTGCGTCTGCCTTGATGTAGGTTTCGTCATCCATAACCAACCACACACATCGGTTTCGTTAATCACTCTCGATACAGCTTCCTTGCGCGGGATTTGGCCGCCGTGTTTGATTGATCACGTCGGTTCGGTGCTTTCCGGATCTTGAATAGACGAAGCCCAGCTCGTTTCATGGTTTGCTAAATGAACCAGGCGGAACACTTTGCCTTCAGAGCCGCGTCGCGAATCGAAAGGTCCGGATTACACTTAAAATAATCCAAAACCTTCCGGGCCTTCACAGGGTCAGCTGTCTTCGATTTTCTTCCACTTCCAGCCCGCCGCTCGGTCGTCTGGGACTCCTTAAACGATTTTACCACCCGAGACACAGTTGTATGGGTGATTCCCAGTTGTCTTCCGATCCATCTCATGGTCGCAGTCGGATTTTCCATGACGGCGCGCAAAATTCTCCGGCGATTTTCTTCTTTTTTCGATGACATCTCAATAACCACTGAACCGATTGTTATGAAATTTTGCACATGTAAACAATTCACTCCAAACTAGTTATACCCAGATTTTCATCAATTTTTACCCACGGATAAAAAAAGTTACACACGGATAAAAATGGTGCATTTTTTTTTCGAGTACAAACCTTACAAGCCTGATGTGCATCAGAAACGAAATATTGCTAATTGCTGCATTCAGTTGCAACCTTGAGGTATAAACACATCCCATCCAAAAGTGGCCGTCTTACCCCGAAACAAGTCAAGGTGAAACAGCTTTTGAAATACCTCACACATAAGTAAGTACATCGAACAGACTTATGTTGTTCTAATTGTAGCATAAACACAAAATATCAAGTGCCAGCCGCCGCCATACTCAATTTTGTTGTAGTTAATTCTGACGATTCATCTGGTGTCAAGCTAAATGTGTTTTACAACATCAACTTCACTATAACAAAGAACTTTTAAAATATATGTTTTTCAAGAGTTGATTGTTTCAAAAATCCAAAAGATGGCCGTCTTACCCCGTCATTCCCTATGCCGTACCCCCGTCTTGCCTGACTGGATGGATGGATGGATGGATGGATGGTCATAAAGCATTATCAGAGCAGGTCAACGCGTGAGTGGTAATAATGTACACACGAGTACGACTGGCACTTGCTATCATGTAGATGATGGGTACAAATATTCGGTCGTATGCATATGTTCGCACGGGAACAGGGTTGAAGTGGCGGGGTAGGCTTCCACCTTTTATTACTTATGGCTTCGAAATTTATTTAGCTTTTGAGATTTGATAAAGAGAAACAAGTTGTTATGATATTGTTTAAAGTCTAACACTGCTTCTTGCCGCCAAACTCGGCCTACGGATTCTAAACTCGGCCTAACGCATTGAAACGCCATTGAAACGCCAATGAATTCACTTCGGCCTATCGGATGATGATAAAGATTGATTGGGTCGGAGCGCTTCATTTGTATTTGGAAATTTTGGGAGCAAACATTCATATCACGCGTTCTTATTGACTTCGTTCGATAGCATTTGAACTAAAGTATTTTACCAAACGCACAATTTATTATTTATTGCACGCCGTCTTCGACTACGTCGTACAGACTGATTACTTAAAACTAAATCTTTTTTAATCTAAACCTCTTATTCTATTACTAAACACATTTTTGGACATGGTAAAATCAAACTCATTACAAACATCATTAAAGGATCGCAAACATGAATTAAAACAGATATTGAATCCAAAGTTAGTTCTGTAGGATGGAATTGCCAGTAATGGGGAGTTACGAAATCTTCGAGGAGGAATGTTCCATGGAATCCGTTCCAGGAGTTCGGGACAGTCCACATTGCCGGTGATTATCTCGAAGATGAACAGTCGTTGCAATTTGATACGTCTTGCTGAGAGAAATTCCAAATCAATCAGCATGCATCGGTCTGGATAACTGGGAAGAATGACTGGATCATTCCATGGGCGCTGACGTAAAGCAAACCTCATGAAGCTTTTCTGAATCCGTTCAATCGTAAGAATATGCGTAGTGTAAAATGGAGACCACATTGGGGAAGCATATTCTAAGATACTACGAACCCGCGAGCAGAATAGTGTCTTGAGGCAATAAACGTCGGTGAAACCAGAAGCATGAGGATGAATGAAACCAAGCACAGTATATGCTTTGGCAGTTACGATGCTTATGTGTTCGGAAAACGTTAACCTGGAATCTATCGTAACGCCTAGATCGCAGATTGAGTTTACACGTTCTAGGGAATCCGGTCCCATGCAGGGGGAGAGGTAGCTCATCGATTCTTCCGGTTCGCCTCCTAGCATCGTGCTATAAGGTACCAGGCGATAACCAGGGTAGTTGATCGATAGCTCGATGACGTCATTTCGTTGGCGTCTGCAATGGGAAATTATCATAGCAGGCGTTGACGATGGGACGTTGTCGAGTTGTTGAATAGCAACTATCGTGGTAACTCACCGATTACCTGTCGATCTGCAAAATTTGGAAAGACGTCTGCATTGAATTGTCTCATATAATAATATTCCGCCCACTATATCACAAGAAATTGCGAGTAGCTGAGCGGAATGGAGATAAGTTAAGCATTGGGTACAGGACCAAGTCTCCCCTGGGTGGTGCCAAAAGATGAGCGCAATAGAATCATCAAGTTGCCATAAGGCACGGAATGAGACTATTGCATGGCTGGGTAGTCAAAGTCTTCCATTCGTTAGTCATTTCAGGCGGATTAGAACAGGTTTAGGTGGGCGTTGGCCAGATTTGGATTTTTCAGATGTAATCCTGGATAGGACCCTGTCATTGAACGTCGCGTGAAAGTGGAACTTAATGAAGGCCTAAATACTTTTTCGTAGTTTTTTGTTTTCGGATTTGAAAGATCGTCGGTTACAGTGGCCTGCTTACTGAGCAGAAAAACGCGGTCCCAGGTCCTTACATATCAAAGAGATTTATGGTAAAATCGCTTGTGTATCGTGTATTTTGCGAAACTCGTTGTTGTCGTTGGTTCCGGGTTTGAATGGATACACAAATTTGAGCAACGGTATTATGTGATATGAGGGGCTCGGTGGCCTTAGAGCAACCGTTTTTGCTTACTGAGCAGAACATCATGAGTCTAATCTCAGGCCCATCCACATTCAAGATTCGTCAATCGTTTTATTTGTTAATATGACTACATGGTAATAACAGCAACTCGGTGATTAAAAAGGTGCTCGTCTGCCTAGTG